TTAGGGTGTAAGGTTTAGGGTTTAGGGTTTAGGATTTAGGGTGTAAGGTTTAGGGTTTAGGGTTTAGGTGCAAGGTTTGGGGTGTAAGGTTTAGGGTTTAGGGTTTAGGGTTTAGGGTTTAGGTGTAAGGTTTAGGGTTTAGGGTTTAGGGTTTAGGAAGCAAACCAACACATGGCACCCAAGTAGTATGCAGTGTGTGTAATTGTCAATAATAAGAGAATGAGGTAAGCAAGCCATGGTGCGGACGAGGAACTGTATACATTGGAGAGTTTATTGGTTTAGGGTTTTGGGGTTTTGGGTTTAAGGAGTCCGTTACAAAAGCCGATGCATATTATGCCGCCCGCACAGCATCCGTACAGAATCGCAGAGGGCTCTTAGGCGGACAGCTAGCTCGCCAGATAGAACCGAAGCGTCAAACAAGCAAATATCGAGTTTAGGGTTCAGCAAATCTAATAGATAGACACAAACATAGGATTAGAGTTAGAGTAAGAGATACAGTTAGAAACGGGAACACGTGCAGATATGGATAGAGAAACATAAAATTTTGGCGGAGAAAGCTTGTCGTTAAACAAAACCCAACATGAACAGAGGGACAGAGACCCGAATAGATAGATAGATAGACGGATTGATACGAGAGAGAGAGAGAGAATGATATATATATATATATATATGTATATATATATATATACATACAGTTAAGCTAATCGATAGATAGACCGATAGATGGCCATAGGCCATAGACAGATAGATAGATAGATAGATAGATAGATAGATAGATAGATACATAGATAGATAGTTAGACAATAGGTAGATAGACAGACGGATAAAACATATAAGTTTCGTAGATGCTCACACGCCTGAAACCGTAAACCCTAAACCCTACCTTAACCCCAAATATCTACCTTTGTAAGGACTTATATAAAGAAGCTATAATAAGCAACCCTAAAAAGGTAGGTTATTTGGGGTCCAGGTAAACCCGAAGCCTTTGCCTGACTTCCGCAGTTCCCGCAAATGGGCTTCCAGAAGCCTTCGCTAGCTTTGGCACATCTGGGCCTACTTTTGCGCTTCGCTCAGAGAGCTTTGGGTTTCGCTGCCCAGGTTTAGGGTTGTGTCTTAATGTGTTTCGGGTTGTTTCTGCAGGAAGGCTTGTGTAATATCATGGTGTCACCACCCTTGGCAGGGTCTCCACCCCAAGCTCTTGCCGAACCCTTCTAAAACCCTTACAGCACCCTTGCAGAAGCTCTACAGAAACATTATATTAACAACAACTTACAGAAACCCTTTTCAGACTGTTGGCCTGATCCTTTGACCTGATTCCCCAAGCCCGAAAGCAGTCTGAAAACTTGCCGGATCCCCCTAAACCCTAAACCCCAAACCCCTAAACCCTAAACCCTAAACGGACCCTTAGGCCCTTAGAAGCACCTGCCATCTGGAAGAACCCTGCTCTCGGTCCGAAGCGTCTCGAACATGAAATCTGCATGAGGGCCTTCATCTAGAGGCCTTCATAATTAGAATCGGCTTTTGGGGTTCCTTAGTATAATTATAGTACTACTACAGACGACATATATATATATATATATACATAAATAAAGAGGGTTTAGGGTTGAGGGTTCTATCTATATATATATATATATTATACATAAATAGAGAGGGTTTAGGGTTGGGGGTTTAGGATCCCTACAGACAAAACCTCCATTATAGAAGCCTTTTATATGCATGATAACCTACATACATACGTATGCACATAGATACTTACATACCGTAACCATATACATATATGTATATACACACACACCCATCATGGCAGTTAGAACACCCTCCCTTTAGAAAAGCTAACTGTTTAGACCCTATAATTAGAAAGGACAGTCCTAAGACAGCTTGGAGTATTTTGTTTTGAGCAAATGACAACAAGCCGAATGACGTTAATAGTTGTCGCTTCTTGGTTTCCGCCAAACCAAAAAAAGCACAAACAAGCCAAAAAACAAACACTCCGCAGCTATGGTGGATTCTGTTTGGCAAACGGAAGCCGGCCCGGTGCGAGCCGGAAAAGTAGCTACTCCTTCGGGAAATAGCAAAAAAACGAACACACATGCAAACAAAATACAAAAGAAGCGTAAAACAAAGCAAAATCAAGGCAAATGGAAGCCGGCTCTCCGGGACGCAGTGGTCCGAGCCGGAACAGCAGCTACTCGTTAGGCAAAAAGCAAAAAGCGAAAACAAAAAATCAAGAACAGCTTTAAAAGCAACGCGAAAGTAAGGAACCGCGAAAAAAACACAAAAACAGTTTAACAACAAAGCCACATCAAGGCAAATGGAAGCCGGCCCTCCGAGACGCAATGGTCCGAGCTGGAAATGTGGCTACTCCTTATAGAGTTTTCAGTAAGGCGCTGTTACTATACTAGCAGCACCAGTATTATAATGGTAATATTATCACGATTACTACATATATCACTGTACTACTACGATTCTAGTATTCTTATAACCGGCCTTTCTAGCCCTATAACAAGGAACCCTAAGGAAACCCAAACTTTTAAGGACCTTAAGCTTCTGGCGGCCTAGCGAACTCCCAATCCGTATAGAAGCCCTTTAGGGTTTAGGGTCTTAGGGTTTAGGGTTTTAGGGTTTAGGGTCTTAGGGTTTAGGGTCTTAGGGTTGAGGGTTTCGTGCATCTCCCCCTGGCCTGGCCGCTCCAAATCTCCGTCGCTGCGCTGCGCCTCGCGCGCGCTGCAGCTCAGTCGTCTTTGGGCGCCTCAGGGCCGGCTTGGAGGTTTAGGGTTTAGGGTTTAGGGTTTAGGGTTCAGGGTTTAGGGTTTAGGGTTCAGGGTTTAGGGTTCTACCCATGGGCCCCAAAACCCTATTCTAATTAAGGCCCTACATTACACCCTTATCATACCCTTTATAGTAACCCTTTGAAAGGAACCCTATTCTAATTCTTAAGGCCCCTTCCTTAAACCTACCCATAGGCCCCATAGTAGTTCCTTTTTGTAGCTCAATTTTAGGATCCTATTAGGTAATCCCAAAAAGAAAACCCTAAACCCCAAAAGGAACCGCAAGGAAGACATTGGTAATGACTTAGAGACCCCTACCCACAGGCCCCATAGTAGTTCCTTTTTGGGATTACCTAATAGGATCCTAAATCTATGCCACAAAAAGGAACTACTATGGGGCCTATGGGTATAAGGATGATACAGGGCATCTTTATGGGTTCCGTGCGGGGTTGGGGCTTAAGGTTCGTTTTAGGTTTGGGGAATATCGGTTTCGGGCGTAGACTCCGGTGCTTGTTTAGGGCTTTAACACGAGTTTTCGACTGGGGGTTGGGGTTCAGGAGTTCAGCAATCACGGCACATCTCAGAACTCCTACCGAAACCTCGGAGGTTTGGAGTCCAGAGGGGTTTAGGGGTTAGGGTTTAGGGTTGAGGGTTATGATCTTTGGAAGGTAGCTGGCTACAGAACTTGCATGCTGGGATCGAGGGGCTGGGAAACCATAAACAGGTTTAGGGTGGGTGCAGGGTTTTTTTCGGGACGCAGAACAGGATACATTATCGCATGATGGCCCTCTCCCAGAAATCAGGGACATCACATCCCACCCCAAAGTCCCTGTGGCTCTGACATCCTGCACATTCTTTAGACTTCCTGATCTAGTCCTTGGAAGCGGCAGGTCTACCCCACACCATAAGTGAAAGGCATTGGTCGTATGCACACGCACACAAACACTCTCTCCTTGTAGCTACAAGCGCTGCCAAGGAAGATGTTGTGACCCCGCACTACCGGAGATTATCACTTTAAACATGTTGCAGCACTTGCAGAATCTGGATGAATGAAGCCCTTACAGAACCCACATCGGACAATTTTGGGAGGAACATGTAAGGGCTCGACTGCTTGAAAGGCTGCGTGCGCAAACTCATAGAGTCGGCGGGCATACTGGTCCTGAGTCGAAGTGAGCCGGAACGGTTTAGGGTTTAGGGTTTATAAACCACCCTAAACGGCTCCTGGGACACGGGTTAAGGCTTTTTGATCCCCCCAGCAAAACCTTACCACAGAGTGTCTTCGTGCTCTCAAAGCCCTAAAACCCCCCCACGTGTAATGGGCCCTAAGCTCCACTAACCTTAACCCTAAATAACCTACCTTTTTAAGGACTCATATAAGGAATTCATATTAAGGAACCCTAAAAAGGTAGGTTCTCAGGGTCCAGGAAGTCCTAAAGCCTCGTGCAGGGGGTCTTGATAACTAGAATAGGATTTCGGGGCCCAGTATGCTATAACAACAGTAAGGAGCCACCCAAAATAGTATTGGTAATTATTTAGGCCCTATATTAAACCCTAAACTCTGAACCCTATATGAAACCCTAAAGCCTAAAGCCTGAACCCTAAGTCCTAAACCGCAACACTTCGACTGAAACAGCGCAGGGCCTTGGACACAACTTCGAATCTCACGAGTGTTTGAAGGTTTGAGGGTTTTTTCCGGATTCAGTTTAGGGACCGGCAAGGGTTTCTGGGAGGTTCTGAAATGGGTTACTGCAAAGGTTCTATAAGGGCTCCCTTTGTTCATATTTGGTTTGTCCAAGGTTTAGGGCCGTAGGGGTCCAGGCCTTAAGGCGCTTGGCGGCTTCTTGAGAGCCGTGGTTTTGCGTACCGCGCGCCGGGTCCACGGAGTCTCGCCGTCCGTGTGCACCGCAGTGCTTGACCCCGTCTCCTTGGGGGGGTGTCCATCCCCGAGGAGTCGTACTCACTTTTTGCCTGGGCAGGCGACTCCTCGGCTTCAGTGTCGCCGGGCTGCAAGGCCTGGGCTGGGCCGGCCTTCGGGGAACTATCAGAAGTGGTCTCTTCCTCCGACTCCTCCTCGAAGACGACCTCCTCCTCTTCGACCGCCGCTGCGGCCACGGTCGCTGCCTCCCTTCGTGGCTGAGGAGGCACGCCCCGATGCCGCTGGGGCCGCGGCATCATCCGCTTGGGGAGGTGGCCCTTCCCCTGCCGCGGCTTGTGAGCCGCCGTGGTCCTGGCGCTCCAAGTTGCGCGCCCAGGCACTGCGGCTGACCCTAGTGCAGTCGGGGTTCGCCGCTTTCCTGGCCCGGATAAACGCCTGGTAGCGGGCTTCCTGCTCCGGGTTGAGGGCGACGGGAGAGACCCATTGGTTGCGGCCCTCGAGAAAGCCATGCTGGCTGCATGAGCCCCAAATCTTTATGAGGAGCCCTAAGCCTTGCGGGTTTAGGGTTTAGGGTTTAAGGTTTAGGGTTTAGGGTCTAGGGTTTAAGGTTTAGGGTTTAAGGTTTAGGGTTTAGGGTTACTAAAGATCTTCAAAGCCGCACACCCTGAATTTCGGGCTTCGGGTTTTGAGGACCTTCTTAGGGTACTGGAAAGGCTTGGCGAACCCAGATGTTAAAACGCCTGCAAGCCCATGAAGCATATCTAGCTAGATATACACGGTGCATTGTATACATATGTATACATATGTATATGTATATATATATATATATGTATATATATATATATATAGATGCACACACATTGCATATATTTGTACATATAGTCATCATATCAACCCTACACCCTAAACCCTATACTCTATGAAGCCTGGCTAGAGCCCCAGGAAGCTCATCTAAATCCCAAGACCCTAAACCCTAAAACCCTACACTCTAAACCAAGGGAGTCCACGACCCGTCAACCTGAACCCCTTGACCTCGGAGGGTTTAGGAAGCTTAGGGTTTAGGGTTTAGGGTTTGGTTTAGGGTTTAGGGCCAAACTAACTCAAAAAGCAAACCCTAAACCCCGACACTCTAAACCTAAGAACCTAATCCAGCCCTCAACTCTAACACAAAATTCATCACAAACAAAAAAACTTACAGGACCCCGAAACTCTAAACCCGAAAGCCGAAAACCTCCATCGAAGGCTTTTCGCACCCTCTTAGAACCCTGATAGGAACCTCAAAGAACCTTCATGAATCCTAAACCCTAAACCCTAAACCGTGAAAAGACACCCCTATCTCGACCGGAGAGCCGGGGCGACAATCGTAGGCTCGTGGCGCTGCACCAGCCTGAGCTTCAGAAGTAACTTAAGGGTTTAGGGTTTAGGGTTTAGAGTTTCAGAAGCAACTTAAGGGTTTAGGGTTTAGAGTTTCAGAAGAAACTTGAGGGTTTAGGGTTTAGGGTTTCGGAAGCAGCTTTAGGGTTTAGGGTTTAGGGTTTCAGAAGCAAAAAAACGGCTTCGGCTTCAGGTTTTCAGAAGCAACTTAAGGGTTTAGGGTTTAGAGTTTCAGAAGCAACTTAAGGGTTTAGGGTTTAGGGTTTCAGAAGCAACTTAAGGGTTTAGGTTTAGGGTTTAGAGTTTCAGAAGCAACTTAAGGGTTTAGGGTCTAGGGTTTCGGAAACAACTTAAGGGTTTAGGGTTTAGGGCTTCAGAAGCAACTTAAGGGTTTAGGGTTTAGGGATTAGAGTTTCAGAAGCAACTTAAGGGTTTAGGGTCTAGGGTTTCGGAAGCAACTTAAGGGTTTAGGGTTTAGGGTTTAGAGTTTCAGAAGCAACTTAAGGGTTTAGGGTTTAGGGTTTCGGAAGCAACTTAAAGGTTTAGGGTTTAGGGTTTCAGAAGCAACTTACGGGTTTAGGGTTTAGAGCTTCAGGAAGCAACTTGAGGGTTTAGGGTTTAGGGTTTAAGAAGCAACTTAAGGGTTTAGGGTTCAGGGTTTAGGGCTTCAGAAGCAACTTAAACGGAAGTTGGGGTGTCTATAGGCTGATGTCGTGAACCCCAAACCCTAAACCCTATACCCTAAACGCTTAACCCAAATATTCAACGTTCAACATCATCAGAAGCAGTTCAGGGCTCCTCTCTCTCTGTTCACGGCTACGTCCGCCCCCAGCCGTACCCTCAAGTACAAACTGATGCTTGAACGCAAGGCGCACGTACACGGCACTTTGCCCATACCTGCCTGGAGCCTGACATTATTTTGGCTGGTCATGTGCTACTCCGGGATTACAAAGAGATCCCAAGCCACAATGCGAAATGGCAATAAATCCTATTTAACCCGAAGTAGAATCAATAGGGGCCGGCATTGGAGGCATCCTAGTTCACAGGACCAATGCCCTACGCCCTAAACCCTAAACCTAAACCCTAAACCCTAAACCCTAACCCTAAACCCTAGACCCGAACCCTTCGTCTCAGGTGGCCTCGCTCTGCAAAGTAGCTGGAGTCGGCCCCTCGCCCCCGAGGGGTCAGAGGCGGAGTCTCCAGCGAAGCCGCCAGACAGGGTTTAGGATTTCGGGTTTAGGGTTTAGGGGTTTAGGGTTTAGGGGTTTAGGGTTTAGGGTTTCGGGTTTAGGGTTTGGGGTTTAGGGTTCAGGGTTTAGGGTCCGATTCTATACTACAAGCCCGAAA